ATATATATATATATATATATTAAGACCCCTAGATTCGACCGCGTCGCCCTTCACCTTCGGGAAGGATTACGACGAGGACGGAGACGAAAGGTTCGACTTGGCCGTGCCTGGGCTCCGTCGGGCTTAGCATAGGCTTCAGGGTTCTATAGGGTTCAGGGTTTACGTTTAGGGTTCTATAGGGTTGAGGGTTCTGGAGTTTAGGGGTCTATAGGGTTTAGGGCTTGGGGTTTTAGGTCAGCAAAGATGTGGTGACGAAACCCGCAGCCTTAAACCCAGGGTTTAGGGTTTCAGTAAAGCTTGCAAGAGTCCTGGATGCAAAAAAGTAAAGCTGCTAGGGCTGCTTGCTCCAACTCCGGGCGAAGTGGAAAGCCTGTTGCAAAAGGGGTTCAGCAGAGCCTGGGTTCAAAAGGAAGGGTTCGGGCGACAGCACACAGAAACTTGAAGGTCCAAGATTTGCACCTAACACAAGGGGGCCGGACTTAGTTACCAATTCTATTCCCTAGGGTTCCGGGGCGTGGGCTCGGGTCTGGGATTCCGGCTCAGTGTAGGGCAGACTAGTTTGGGGTGTGGGTTTAGGAAAGATTCTAGGGTAGACCCAAAGGCAGCCTGGTACCCTCACCCGAACGTTGGCACGTAAGGATACAGAAGGGGTTGTAGCGGTTGGGGAAGTCAACATGACAGTGCCTCAGGTTCAAAGGGAACTTAGCAAGAAATTGCGCTACCCATGGCATTGTTGCCTTTGCGAGAGTCCCGAATGGGATCGGATTGCAGGGATAGCAGGACACGGCCAAGATGTGTGCGATGCGAGCGCAGCTCCTTGTTTTGCATCTGTTCGCACGGCTGGCCTTCTCGGGTCTGCTACGCAGGCGATGAGAACATAGGCGCTGAATCCGAAGGCCCCGAAGATTCTGCGAGTCAACGGCTGAAAGCCTCCTAAATAAGTGCTGAACCTGAGTCCTAGTTGGATTGAGCTCTTCAGTATGCCCATATTCAACCTCGCCTGTGAGCTTCGTTCTCTGCCATGCGAGAGGGAAAAAAGTGCTGAAAATGTGGGCTTCACGTCTGGGAGGGCCTGCTCAACACCTGACAGAAAGACATTGCCGGACGTGAGCCACCTTGCCGGGCTACCCAAAGACCCTGAATCCTATCAGCAGATCATCTTCCGGACGCCACCTCTCGAGCCTTAGCCTCAACACTCCAAAAAAATCCCCCAAAGCCGCCGTTTTCGCTGCAACCGCCCCCTCCCTCAGGTGCGGGACATGACCCGAGAGCACCGCAAGAAGCTGCGAGAGGAGGCCAAGGAGGCCAAAGAGGCCAAAGAGGCCGAAGCCCAAGAGGCTCAGGAGTCGAAGGAAGACAGCTGAACTCGGCTGAAAGATCGTTTAAAGCCCTAGGTAATTACCCATATGGTTCCTTACTATGGTTATCACAGTATCAAGGAGACCAAAACCCGATTCTAATTATTAAGGCCTCTACATTAGAAGACTGTGGGGTTGGAGGGTGTTGCTTTCACTCGTGAACTCGCGGCAGAGACACTGCAATAAGATCTTTATCGGACCCAGATCCTTCGACGGAGTGCTTCAACGTTTCACTTCCCCTGCGACCGGCCTCGTCACGGGAAAAGTGGAAGGCAGGCATGGTGAGGAGCCTGAGTATCAAGTCCTACCATTCCCCAGACTTCCATAAGAGATTCATAGAGCTAAAACTCAAATCACGCAGGCCCTTCCTTCCCCATAGTTATGTCGCTTATCATCGCTGAAGAGATTTTTTCATTCCGCAGCCCATTTACTCCAGGACAGGACACCAGCCTTTCTCGCATGTTGTGACGTGGGAGGTTCCTGGTAAATCTTCCCAAGATCTGCGGTCTGACTCAAAGCTCCTGAGAATAGAGCAGTCCCGTAAGGGCGCATGAACGGTATAGAAACTTGCACTTAGTGTGCGTTCACCGATGCCTCGCCGCGCCACATCTGCACCGCCGCCGAAGAGCCTGACCCGGCCAGTGAAGGTTTGCGCAGCTTGGGCGAAGTTGAGTTGAGTGACTGCCCTTGCGCACAAAGAGCGTTACTGGAAGCACAGCAGAAAATCAACGTGGCAAGGGCAATGCTCAATGAAGAGGCGGGGAACCCCATCTCCGAGCAGGATTACAACAAGATCCCCAAACCTTAAACCCTAAAACCTCGCTACCCGAAATCCTCAAGACAAAGAAGGCCCCATGAAGAGCCCATTGCCCCAAACCAGTGCTCCCGAGCCTGAGGTGCGGGTACGTCCGGTGCTTGAGCGAGAGGTGGAGCACGGTCTGGACCCGAGGGAATCGGGTTTAGGCTGGAGGGTTTCGGGTTTCGGATCGTCAGGCTTTTAGGGGGATAAGTTAGGCTTTCCACGCTTCGTTCAGAGAGGTTGCCTTTTTGGATGGCTTTGGGGGTTTAGGGTTTGGGTTGAAACTCACCCGTACCTGTGAGCGCTCTAGACGATTTGCAAGGTTTGTGGGGTTGTTCTACATCAGGGCTCGGTACCTCCTGTCCAAAAGGATGATTTGAAACAGCCCTCTGATGGGCTCCGATTTGAAGCTTAAAGTTTTGGCTCCGCGTTGAGGTTTCTGGTACCTGGTTGCTTGTGTGTCGGGATGGGCCAGAAATAGCTTCAGTGCTTTTGGTCGACACAATATTCGCGGAGGGGGGATGTGTAAATGTGCTTGGTGTCTAACACACATGGACCGTGCGGAGCGAAAAAAAGCAGTGAAGACACCATGAGTAATTCAGTTGCCATCTGCAGTTAGACAGCAAGGAAAATTTGCAGTCGGATTGCCCAAGGTACTTATCATGGATGTATCGCCATCGCCCACGAGAGAGTCTACATCAGCACGGAAGACAAGCCCGTGCTCATCGGAAGCAAGGACACCGCCTCCCCTCTCTCGCTCTCAGCTATGAGCCTTTTTGTGTAGGGATACCCTTTTGAACTCTCCCACAAGAGCATTACGTCTTGCTGGATGCAGGACGACCCCTTGCCGGAAGGAATCCGCGCCTACCCTGGCTTCGATGGCCTCCTGGACCAGGACGCCTCCCAGGAGGCCCGAAGCTTTTTTTCCGGGGTTGCCTCCGTTTTGTTCGGAAACCGCCAGGTGGCTTGGTCTGGCAAGCCTGTGATATTTACCTGAGGGTACAGAGGTCCGGAATCCTGAACCAGTAAGACCTGGCCCAGTAAGAAGATGCGGGTTTTGGAAACGGAGCCCGGGTGCTGCTGTAGTGGTCTTAGCAGGCACGCAATCTGCTTCAGGATGTTTTCCAGTCCGCCGGAAAGGAGGCCGTTGACGGAGTGCTGCTACTTGGCAAAGTCTTGTGGCGCTCAAATGTGTCGTCTCCCCACGGTACGTATTCTTGCGACGACGATGCGGTTCTTGTATGGGTCGGAAGGCCCAAACTCAAAAATAAGGCATTCAGGTCTGTTTTTGAGCTTCAGCTGACATCTGAGGCCAAATGTGCGAGAAACTGTAGGGCCACGCGTTGCTTCTCAAGACGGTTCTGGATTTAAACTTTTCTCCAGTTCGTGATCATAGCAACACCGCAGACAAGGAGATGACACCAACAAGGGCACTTTATGTAAGTATAAATAACCAAAGTCGGTATAAAGACTACTGAACCAGTAAGTAACTACAGATAGATACACATGCAAAATTTAAATACCCAAGTAAATAAATAAATGAGTATATATACATAAACAAACGAATAGATAATTACGCAAATGCAAACATACATACAAATAAAAAGAAATATGAACATGAACATAGACAAAATGATAAACATAAGTTTAAGTAGAAATATCTAAAAAAACAAATATATCTATCCATTTGGCGCTGCTAGAGCCTCTGGTTGCAACGGCAGAGAGAAAGGGAGGGAGAAAGATCTATCTATCTATCTATCTGTCTATCTATCTGTCTGTCTGTCTGTCTATCTGTCTGTCTATCTATCTATCTATCTATCTATCTATGTATCTATCTATCTGCATGCATGCTTGCATGCATACATGGATACCTTCTTTTCTTTGAATACATTTCCAAGCATGGATACACATGTCACATGTATGCACATACAAATACATACATATTTACAAACAGGCACATAGTTGATGACGCTTTCTGCGTGATGCGACCCGTTTGGGATTGTGGTAAATGAAGGCTAACCGAAATTGTATGCTGTGTTCAGTGTGCACTCCTTCCATGCGTACCGTATTCCTCATTCTTTCTTTATGCTGTCCACTGTTCCCTATTCTGTGTCCAAGCTCCTTGTCCGTGTTACTTTGTCCTGCTTCCAATTGTCCTCATTATGGGTTTTAGGTTTATGTGTATGTACGTGGAATTGGAAGGCATGTACGTCGCGCATTTGACGAGGCTTGGCCTGAATGCCGCCATCATGGCTTATGGCCAAACCTCGACGGGAAAGACGCACACCATGGTGGGCGAACCGTGCTTTGCAAGAGTTGCCCTTTTGGGGAGCATTCGGGAAAATGGATGCTCGTGTGTGGGCTTGGAGGATCGTTTTTGCAGGAACCATTTTCTTCCAGCGGTCCGGATGCTTTCCGTCCGCGCTGCGCTCACGGTAGGGTTGAGCTTCGCAGAGGCAGAGGGTGCGTCGACATGCGCAGTGAGAGTGTTTGCACTGTTGTCTCCCTGAGTCTTGCTACTGGGTAGTTGAGATGCTGGCAGCGGTGCAAGTCTAGCGCATGTATGCCGATTAATTTTGACTCTTTGTGCAGCCAATCAGCATAGACCCCAAACAGTAGAAGAGCATACAGCAGCCAGTCCAAAATGAGCACCGCACTGCTGCTGCCACGCACGGGGCTGTCGCGACTGGGAGGTCCCCAAACTCCTAAGCCTAGCACAGTAGGTTGCCGAGCCTAGGACCGTACACGTCCAGGCCTCTGCCTCAAGGCCGGCTGCTTTTTTTATGTTTGGGCTCACGCTATGGACCTTCCGGTTTCGGAACTTCTGTTTGGGGCTTGGGGTTTAGAACTTCTGGATTGGGGTTTGGCTTGAGACCATGGGCTAGCATACAAGTGCCACGGGTTGCAAGCTTGATTACGTCACGACCCTTGAAGAACCAGTGGGTATTACATCAGTACATCATCCCCCAGATTCTTCTCTGAGTATAGAGCTCTCCCCCGTCACGGGCTTTAGGATTCAGAGTGTTCTTCATCGTGAACTTAGTGGGTGGGACAGGGGAGGCTTCACAGCTTGGACTCGGCTCACAGGCTTCCGGGGATGTAGTCGGTAAGTCTGCAGAGAGCTGGTCTTGACTTGGCTGCAATGGTCCGATAGTCCCTTTTCCGTCTTTGTGTTTTTCGTGTTCCGCCTGCAACAACTCCGCGTGGATTTGCTTCGGGCGGTTGCGAGGCATCACAGGAGGTGTCGGATTCAGGATGATAGCAACTTTGCACGAACACAAAATAGGAAGTGGCTTTCGCTACGTCTTGTCCGCGTTTTCTGAGTGTCACGGTACGTGTGTTCATTCGTTCTATCCTCTTGACGCCGCTCGACTCTACAGGAGGGAGGCGGCTTGGCTCGTATCGTGTGCAGAAGCTCACCTCTGCTTCACATGGGAGTTTCAGAAAATTAGGGTACCTTATTTTGGGGTCCTTATAATAGGGATCCTATTAATTAGGGTACTATATTAGGGTCCCCTGTTTTCGGAAACCCCCACATCTTTCCATCAAACTACGGTAGCCTTTCAAGGGCGGGGTTTTATACCCTCCTCCTACCCTACTCCTCCCCCGAAGCCTGAACTCTAAGAGTGGACCGCTCGAGGCAGCAGGGCACCTCTTCTCCGAAGCTGCGCTATGTGGATCGCAGATCGAGGCCCCCTCTGGTCTGGGTTTAGGAGTCGGGGCTTGGGGATGTGCCGATTGGGTATGGGTATACGCCACCTGGGACAGGGATGAGAGCCGTGTTGCAGTGAAGCCTTGTTAGACTGTGGGCTGTGCAGGGTCCAGGTCTTGAGATCATGTTGGTGGACTTACAAGTTAGGGGGGGCATAAGCAGGAGATGATGTCAGAGACGGGAGGCTGGGATCCTCGATTTCCGTTACTCCGACGCAGCTCTGAGCCCAGGTTCAGGCTTCCTTCCTCCAGCTCTACCTCAACCACATCACGGATCTTCTCGTGCCGCGGCCGTGCACACAGGGATTGGCTTAGAGTTGAAGGTTCCGTCGTCCCATGTCAGACGACTCCTGTCTATGCTGGGCCACGAGCGCTGACGGCTCAGGTAGCCGATGGCCACGAGCGCTCGCTGAAACTGCGGGAGGTGGTGGGCGAAGAAGCGACGGACACAAAGGTCGAGGGGCTCTCAGAGAGGCAGCTTGGGCGAAATCGAACGTGGTTATGGTTTTAGCTTCTCTCACCAACTTCAGTGTGGCACGCCTCTGGGAGAAGCTGGGAGCCGCTCGGAATGTGTGCTCTTGCTACGCTTTTTTGTTCTTCAGAAGATCTGGTGAGAGAGAGCCAAGGCCCGTGGTGTAAAAGGTGGAGTTAAAGGGCCCAGTCCGTGAGTCCGAGTTGCTAGACTATTGTAGTATATTAATATAATATTATTCTAGTACTATTATAGTATTATTGTAGTATTCGTATTATTATAGTATTATTATAGTTTTGCTGGCTGATAAGAGCGAGGTTGGTGCAGTCGATGGACGATGTTGCAGCCGTCCTCGAGGTGCTGGGGGATTGAACCAACATCAGTTTGTCTTCCCAAGCCAAGCTTCAAATATTAGCATGAGACCGTGAGCTAACGTCTGGTAAGGGGGATGCCAGCCAAGCGGCGATTGAGAGTGCGGTCGCACAGGAACCAGAAGCACACGAGGAACACTACGGCAAACTGCAGTAGCGAGACGGTGCGAGAGGGAATGTCACAACAGCAACAGGCCTCGCAGGAGGAGTCTGAGGCCTTTCCTGGGCTCAAGCTCTTCCATCTTTCAAAGAGAGACGGTCTATCACGAAGATGTTTGACCTGTGAAGCCCCGAAGCCCTTGTTCCTAAACGTTGAGCCCTATTCAAAGAGCGCAGGAGGGCAACCGACGACGGCAGCAGGCGTGCACTGCGCTGAATGCCAGCTCAAGCCGGTCCCACGCAGTGCTGTCGCTTTGCTTGAAGAAGGGCACCTGCGATCTTAGCTGTTGGGGGCCTCTCTTGGGGGACTGTTGGCTTAAAGGCAGCCGACAAGCGGGGACGATTGCGTAGAGCTTGTCAATCAGTCAGGCTTCGAATCGTGTAGCTCTGTATCGAGCAGATCTTGGTTCTCTGCTACGGAACGGGGGGTTTTGGGCTTTTACGATATCGGAGCTGTGGAAGCGTGGAGTGAGCCTCAAACCCTATGCACTCCAAACCCCTAGTCCCAGTCACTAGTCCCCCTAAACCCTAAACCCGGTTTCCACTCCGAACCCCGAGGATCCTCAACGTCAGCCTGTGGACGGGCACGAGGTCCGACGAGGAGGGCGAGGCCCCGTGATGAGCTCGAAATTCGAAAGCCCAAAAGACTTGAGAAATCCGAAAGCCCGATCCGAAAGGCAGCAGAGTCTGAGAGCGTCAATCGAATAACCCGAAATCCCTGACACCCTGGCATCGGAGACAGTAAGAGAGGCCGAAGCCACTGTGGCGAAGCCCCTTCGGCAGCAAGTCCTCACATGGGGGAATCTCCATGGACCCCCTGTCTAAGTACTCAAGTTTTTTTGTGCCTCACTCGAATGATCAGAAGGCCCCGAATCAACATCAGCATCTTTAGAACTCTATTCGGCGACCACTCCCGCGCATCCAAATACCAGTAGTACCGCTACTCCTACCACTACTACCACTACTTACTGCCACTAGTACCACTACAACCACTCGGACCACGACTACCACTACGAAGACAACGACGACGACCACTACTACGACTGGAAGAACTACTACTTACTACTACTACTACTACTACTACCACTACTACTACTACTACTACTACTACTACCACCACCACCACGCGCTACACTATGCATGTGACTACTCTCTATAGAGGGGCGAACAAAGCTCCGAGTTTTCAGCACTATCCTGATGTTTTGGTTTCGTTCCGCCGAGCGGCATCGCCGGGCACCAAACCGGAAAATGAGGAGTTTAGAGAGTTGAAGTTCCCTTAACAGGATATGCAAGTTTCGTAAGAAAAATGGCCCTTCGTTTAAGATGATGACGGCCAATACCAGAAAGTTGGCCCCCGCGGACCTAGGCTGTACCTTGTGGATTTGGCTGGCAGCGAGAGGGTGAAAGACTCCGCCGCCACTTGAGCTTTTCGGAGCTTGAGTTTACGGTTAAGGGTTTTTGTAAGGTCCCTATAAATCCCATATTAGGGCTTATAATAAGAACCTGCAAAAAAGTGGGTTTTAGGGTTGAGGGTTTCGGCCGAATTCCCGAAACTTGAGTTTCCGGAGCCAAGCGGTCTTTCAACCTGGTCGTGAACGGCTGTGAGTCGGACCCGGGATCCGGGCAGTGAAGGTCCTTCCAAGGCTTCAGCAGGATGGATCCTTCGGACATCTTCGGACGCTGAAGCCCTGCTTCACTTCTCCAAGAAGCGGAAGCCAGACCAGAACAGGGCAGTCCCTAGATCCTGAACCCTCGCCGGAACATCGTAGGAATCGTATGGCTTTGCTGGAACTCAACACTTTTAAGCCCCAATCCCCCGCGGAAATGGGTGATTCCTGCCTGCGCAACAGTTCCGCCTCGTGCGGGAGAAGCGAAAAGGGATCTTTCGAATTCCGAACCTTCAAAAATCCGTAAGCCACCAAAACCCAGGCCGCTGGGGACCGTTTCACGGAGGCGGTTCACATCAACAAGTCGCTCTTTGCACTGCAGGGAGCGACTCGTCTCACTTGGTTTGGGGTTCTACAGGAAATCCCTGTCTTCTTATCCAGGTATCAGTTATGTGCCCATGTACATGTACATGTACACGTCTTTCTACCTCTATAGAGCTCGCACGGGATGTGTTAGGCGAGCATCTACACAGCCTTGCGCAGTTCGCAAGCATGAAGCAAGCAACGACTGCACACACACACACAACAAGTCACAGCAAGTTAAGTGTTTGTCCAATTACATGTAGCTGACTGACTTGTCGTTCATCAACCCACCAATCAATTGTCAGTTCATGTCAGTTCATTGATGCGTTTTTCGGTTAAACCGTACATGCACACATACACACATACATACATGCATGCATGCATGCATACATACATACATACATACATACATACATACATACATACATAAATACACACATACATACACACATACATACATACATACATAC